GCAATAATTTAAAAATACTCTAAAAACAACTCTGCTAAAAAATGTTTGCTGTTTTCCAACCACTATCCCCCCGCCCAACTCCAGCTTTATTTATTTGAAAGGCACAGAAATAGATCAAGAGACAGAAATGGAAAAGTAGAGAGAGAGATCTAACGTTTGCTGATGTCTTCTCCACCCCCCCCCCAAAAAGATATTATTCAATCCTGAGTCAGACTGAACCAACAAGCTGGTTATTTAACCCAGAGTTTTCATTTTAATTATAAGAATTCAAATGCTGAGCTATTATCTGCTGTGACCCTGGGGGAACATTAACAAAAACTTGACATAGAAACTAGAGTAATGACTAAAAGCTAGGCACTCTAGTATGGGATGACAGTGGTTCATGAGGCACTTTAACCACTGTGCCAAATTCTTTGCTAACTATATTTAAGTAGAAGATATCAAAGGGGTTTAAAAATTATTTATAGTTTTAGTAATACTTTGAATAGAAACAGGTCCCATACCAACAGAGGTTTGAAAGTAACATTTCAAGTAGATCTAGCAGCAGCAAACGTAGATACGGGAAAATTTATTGAACTTAATTCTACTCTAGTTGGATGAAAGCAGCAAAGTTCAGAGCTATGCTTGCCCATCATCTAAGAAATTATTTTTTAAAATATGGTTTGTCAGACCTATTCCTCAGAGACGGATTCAGCATTTTATATTTTTAAACCACCATAGGTGATTCTATTTTACAATCAGATTTTAAAACAAGGGATTAGAGTAGTTGATAGCATCATAGAAGTAGAAAGGCAGATTAAATTGACCTAGAGGATTAAATCTTAAACTTTAGAAGCTACATTTAATTTAGGAGGTGGCAAGGAGTCCATGTTTTGTAAGGATATCATATGTGAAAAAGAAAAGCATTATGAATCAGGATAGTAACTTTGGAAAGCTTCCAAATTGTAAGACTGACAAGTGGAAAGTTAGTTGAAGAAGATATGGGGAGAAAATATGGAAAAAGGAAGGTAAATTAGAGTCAAGATGAATGATAGTATACAGAGATGATTGGGGAAGAATTACTGGCAAATGTAATACTTGATTCTATACATATACTTTCCACTATATTATTGTTGGTGAATAAGTGTTTTATTGAACACATCTCTAAGTCTATAAGCTTCATTGTCTTTGGAAAAAAAAAACTTTAATCCCAGTATAGAAAGGTCCAATACACAGGGTGATATTAAGGCATTAAAAAATGTTTTTGAAACAGTAGTCATTTAAAAGCATAAAAAAGTCAAAGGAAATGATTCGAAATAAACAGAAAAAAACTATCTGTGATTTTAATAAAATCAGGTACATTAATTTTGCAACTACAGAGAGAGAGGGAGAGGGAGAGAGGGAGAGAGCGTGCGTGCACTTTCATCTGCTTGTTCACCGCCCAATGCCCACAATGACAAGGGCGTACCAGGTGAAAGTCAGCAGCATCTGGATTCCCACAGAAGTACGAGGGGTTCAAGGTTTTGGTTGCCTTCTACTGCTTTCTAGGCACATTAGAGGATTTTGACTGCACTTGGAGTATTTTGGGCTTGAAGCAGTGCTTGGTTGTTAATTACTAGCACCACAGTTGGTTGCTTAATCTGTTCCATCCAAATCCAGCCCCATATTACAGAGACTTTGATCCATTGTACACACATGAAGAATTCTATGTTTGCATAAGATTCAATAGGTTGTGTAGAACATAATTTTGACCTGAAATCTAGTAACTTACACATTACTTCTTTTTGTTTATCATGGAAATTTCTCTCTTTGGAGGTGGGAAAGAGTAAAGCTGTCATTGAATGTTTTCTCTGGGCTGCACAGGCATGATAAGCTTTATACTCATGCACTTTAGCAAGGTCACCATCATGTTATTTTCACCATTATGATGATTTTCATCATTGAAAAGACCAACATTTTTCCAGGTTCCCAAATAACTTCTTTTGGGGAAGAATCCTGGATTTCTAAGGAAAAATAAAACAAATATGATGTGCATATACATTCTTGAAAATGATTTATTTTCTGTAATGATCTATTTATTAAGAGTCAGCTATAAAGAGAGAAAGATCAACCTTAGATCTGATGTTTCACTTGCCTAAAGTTCACAATAGCTAGAGCTAGACTAATCCAACGCTGGGAGCCACAATCTTTTCAGTGTCTTCCATATGGAGTGCAGGACTTTGGACATCTATGCTGCCTTCATAGGCCATCAGTAGAGCTGGATCAGAAGTGATGCATCTGGAAGTAAAACTGGTGCCCATATGGGATGCTAACATTGCATCTTTAAGATTAGCTTGCTTTGGGCCCAGTGTGATAGCCCAGTATGATAAACTCGCATTGAACGCACCAGGATCCCATATGAACACCAGTTTTAATCCCAGCAGCCCCACTTCCCTTCCAGCTCCCTGTTTGTGGCCTGGGAAACTAGTCAAGGATGACCCAAAGCTTTGGAACTCCATAACCATGTGGGAGACCTGGAAGAAGCTCCCAGCTTCTGATTGGCTTGGTTCCAGCCATTGCGGCCGCTTGAGGAGTGAACCATCGGATGGAAGATCTTCCTCTCAGTATATCTGACATTCCAATAAAAATAAATAAATTTTTAAAAAAGAAAAAAAAAGTTAGCTTGTGTGGCACTAGGTCAGATCCAAAATGATTGATTGAAGGTCATTTTTTTTTTCTTTTTTTGTTATAACAAACATTTCCAATTCAAATGAACAGAAATCAGTGTGAAAAGTTTCAGGGAACAGAAACATCACAGAAAAAGTTGAATTAGAGATGATTCTGCGGGTTTTATCTGTGTTCTGAGGGTATAGCTCTCACTCTCCTCAGCAAAGACATTATTATTTTTGGTAAAATATCAGGGGTTGACCCACAGTAAAAATGGACAAATTCTAAAAATAAAAAATGGCATAATTTTCAAATAAAAATGGCATAATTTTCTTCTTCCCTTTATATTTTGGTTTTGATTTTTTTTTTAAGTTTTTTTGTTTCTTTTTATCCAGAAAAGTTATCAGTAATGCAGCTCCTGGAAGAGTTTACAACCAACTGCATGAGTACCTGGGAACCAGATGGACTGTGGTAGGGACAGGGCGAGGAGGAGCTGTGGCTGCAGGAGCCTGCCTGCTGACCTGCTTACACAAGAAAGAGGGTTTCTTTTGTTAAAAGTGAGGCAGTACCTTTTTGAAAAAAAAAAAAAACAAAACAAAAAACTTTTGATGATAGTTACATGGCTGATCAGGGCGGGAAAGATTGAGTGTTAGGAGAAAGTGGATGAAATCATTGTCTCCAAATTCTCTATCTCTTCTTCTCTCTGGGGGAAGGGGAGAGATAATGGGGGAAGCAGGGTTCTCTGCCTCCAGAGCTCATGAACCTGACACCCACCTTGGACATGGCCCCAGGACCCTGAACAGGTGACTCCAGCTCTGCCAGAACTTCCATCCCTGGGACTCACGAAACCCACACCCACTGTGCAGGTGGACCTCCAGACCCATACCTTTTGTCATTTAAATTCTCTTTGAATGTACACGGTGCCAAATATATAATAAACCATCTAATGTTCCTGGGTGGGGGACATTCTTTTCATTCTGTGTAATTCAGTGTGGTCCACTACATTTAATAGTCCAATCCAGATCAGATGTTCATGCCTTACCTAAGTGGAATGAGAAATGTGAGTTTCTGATTATAAATGATGATGCACTGTCCCAGATAGTCTATGAGCCATTAACTTATGTCCAGGAGTAGACAATGTAAAGTGGATCAGTAAATTACCCTTGTCGTTGAGTGTGAGTAAGAAATAGTCTGTGATTTAAACCTCTGAGATTTAGTGTTTCTGGCACATAGGCAGGGTTCCATGTATTACTTATTATGTTGCTATGTTCATCATTCTAATAATTGAAGTAGTTATCTTCATTCTCAATTAGAAATTTAGTTCCTTGTCTGTGAGTTACACTTACCTATTGGGGTCTGTAGTGTTATTCAGCATTGCAACTTAAGCACATATCATAGCAGTTGCACAGTAAGTAATTCAGAGCAGTGATTAAGAGCACAAGTCAGACGAATGTGATTTGAATCTTGATCTAGTGTTATATGATATAGGAGCATCACTTAAACCGAGTCTTTATTTAATCATGAGTGAGTGAGGTTAATGAGATCTGCCTGCAGTTCTGATGAACATTAACTGAGTTACCATGCCTCTGCCACAGGGCCTCACACATGAGTAAATGCTCAATCAGTAGAACTTTTCGTTAGTAGATGGACGGTACAGACACGTGGTGAGGGGATTAGACTGACCACTGCATAATGATCCTCTCTGTCTTTCTAATATGTCAAGCATGTTAATACTGAAACACAATTGTCACTTTCTATTTTGTTCTGCTTATGTTTTTCTTTTGTTGTTTTCTTTATATAAATAGCGTGCCCCTGATGTAATATCACATTAATAAAAACCTTTTGGGGACATAGTTAAGCCCAGATGTGCCACATGTTGGGTGATAAACATGATTTGCTCAGCCCTTGGAAATTCTATTTTAGACAAAATGATGTTACATGTAAACATTTCAGAGAATCCATTAATAGACTGACCAGGACATAATTTTGGGGATTTAATTTCCAAATATAATTCCCATAGATGAGACATATTTGACTCTCAAGAACCAATACATTGGTATTCACAATAACAACAGATGTAATTCATTATTTTACTAATATTGTCCATAAGGAATTCCTCACACTTAACACAATTCTTCTAAGTATGTTAAGCTTATGCTTTGTTTTACTCACTCATGTTCAATTAATAGTCTGAGAATCCAGAGACCAGCAGATCTGGAACCTAGAAAATTGTTTTCTTTTGCCACAGGACATCATAGTAGCAGAATATGTAAAGTCTCTTGATTTCTCTGTAATAATTGCCATAATTAAATAAAAAACACTTTTGGGCTTTGCATTTAATGGTCCCTTGTTTTGCCATTTTTGCCCTAACATAGGCAGTGATTGTGAAGTAAATATAGATGAATGCCTGTCAGAGCCTTGTCTGCACAATGGAGATTGCATTGATGGTGTTAACCGTTACACCTGTGACTGCAAGAGTGGGTTCTTTGGGACACACTGTGAGACAAATGCAGATGATTGCTTCTCAAATCCCTGCCTACATGGAAGGTAGCTATTTTTATTTTTTCTATTATTAATTCTGTGAAAGTTTAGTTAACAGACAATATTTAGAACTTAATGCCAATGAAAGTTGATAAATTTAATTTAAATTATGCTATTTCATGAAGCAAGTGCTAAGTGCTTTTAAGATGACAGCTGCTGCCTGTTTTAGCTAGTGCAATGTACTGATACATTATCTCTGCAATTCTTTTATTTCTGTTCATTAGTGTAGAGTAATTTTCAATAAATGTGGATTAATTAGACCTCAGTATACATAAAGGTAACTGCCTATATTAATTGGAATATCAGGTAGGATTATGAAACATCTCTATTATTTGCTCTGCAGAGATAACACCATTCACTTAGGATTTGATATGTTGACAAGTAGACAAGTTCTTACATCTCTTTGTAAATGAAAGATATTGTATAACTTGACAGAACATATAACTCATGAACAGGATAGTAGTTTATACAAAACTAAAGTAAGGTGGCAAAGAATCATGATTCATACATACACCATGTTGCTAACTACATTATTTTTCTTTTCTAGTCCTTCCACTGACTTTGTAAGCAGAAAGAAAAGAGGATTAAGGATTCAGTTTGGCCACAACTGCCTTCAGTTTCCTACATAAGCCCTAGATAGACTTTTTATCTTTTAGAACTTTTCCTTCTTTCCATTGCCAAGGGGAAGATGGTAAAATGAAAATTGATCAGTTCCTTGAGACCAGTCACCTTCAAGGCAAAGATACCAAGAATAGAGTCTGTGTAGTATTGCTCATGGGAGTGTGGGGATTTTTATCACCTGAACTAGAAAAGAATATTTTAAAATGGCAAAAGATTCATTGAAGCTGTGCTTTAATGTCTACTCATTTGAAACTTTAATTCTGTTTCAGGTGCATAGATCTCGTTAATGCATATCAATGCTTATGTGAAGCAGAATGGACTAGTACAAGATGCGAGGTCAAGATTACTGTAAGTTTTATCATTTTACTAAATTTACATGACAAAAGATGTCTTTCCTAAAAGTCAAACTACTTTCTGTGGGTTTCAAAGCCATTCTCTCAACAGCTTTAAAAGATAAACTTGCTATATTTCTTCTGCAGGAAATTCCTCATCTACTCTAAATAAAAGTACAAATCAATCTTCTCGTTCTTAACCCTTCATGTCTTTAAATATTTATTTTTGGGACTGGCACTGTGGCATGTGAGGTTAAGCCTCTGCCTGTGGTGACAGCATCCCATATGGAAACCAGTTTCTGACCTGGTTGTTCCACTTTTTTTCCAGCTTCCCGCTCATGCACATGAGAAATAGCAAAAGATGACTGAAGTGCTTGGGTGTTGGATAGTGTGAAAGACCTTGAAAAAGCTCCTGGCTCATGACTCCTGTCTTGAGATTGGCTCAGCCCTGACCATTATAATCATTTAAGGAGTGAAGCATCCCTTTTCTCTTTGTTACTCTTTCTTAAAAAAAAAAAAAAGATACATTCTAATTTATATCAAAGTCAGAGAGAGAAAGGGACAGAGATTCTGTCTGTAAGTTCACTCCTCAAATAGTTGCAATGGTTGGGACAGGAGCCTTGAAATCATTTATGTCTTCTGTAAGGAAGACACAGAATAATGTGATGGATCATCTTCTGCTACTTTCTCATGCGCACTATTTAGAAGCTCTAAGGGAAGCAGAGCCGAGTGGCTAGGATTTGAACTGGACAATTCCATAAGCATTTTCAGCATCACAAGCTGCAGCTTAACCTGCAGCATTAGACTACTGCCCACCTTCATTGCCCACATTCTGCAACCTGGAACTTTCCTTGTCCTAAGCACTGAAAGTAGCCATTTTCAATAAGAGCTCAGGTGGTTTTATGTTTTACATTCATCTCCTCTTCACTATTGTAAAGTCATAGAAGTGTCTGTAGTACTGTAGAGATAAGGCAGAATTAAAATGATCCAGACATCCAAGGGAGAAAATAAATGGATGGATGTGCCAGGAGGCAGGCATCACCTGTAATGTGAGATCTTGTTCCAGCCTCCTAGAGGCTGAAATGTAGGATCAATGCACTTGGCATTTTATGTGCAATGTGCTTGCCTGAATATTATAATAATTTTTGGTGATTACATATATCACAGGTCCTTCTGGATTAATAAGAACCTCCTCCAAATCTGTCCTGATTGATAGTATCAGTGATATGATAAAGGAAAAAAGCATAGGGACTAAAAATAAGCTTTTGGCATTGTAAAATTATGAATGTTATATTTAAATCATTTTCCTGTTTTCCTCATCTAAAAAAAAAATAAGAGTTCCTACATCAAAAGGCACTTGATAAGAATGCATCTGAGATAGCAATACTCAATAAGTGAATGTTTTAGCAGCAGTGATGTGCTTCAGAAACATCTGAGGAAAAAGTAATGTAACCCTTACATTGCTATTTACCTGCTGTGTCTTCTTAAGCAAATCATATATATATTGAAATCAAGTTTTGATTATCCAATGAGATGCAGCAACAGTAACTAGCTTGTACATTGCTTTAAGAATTAGGGAGGGGCCTGGCCTAGTAGCCTAGAGGCTAAATTTCTTACCTTGCATGCCCTGGGATCCCCTATGGGTAACAGTTCATATCCCAGCTGCTCCACTTCCCTTCCAGCTCCCTGCTCAAGGTCTGGGAAATCAGTAGAGGATGGCCCAAAGCCTTGGGACCCTGTATACACATGGGAGACCCAGAAGAATATTCTGGCTCCTGGCTTCAAATAGACTCAGCTCTGGCCATTATGGCCACTTCAGAAATGAATTAGTGAATGGAGGAGCTTCCTCTTTGTCTCTTCTCTGTAAATCTGACTTTATCATAACAATAAATAAATCTTTAAAAAATAATTAGGGAGATAATTCATGTTAATCAAATAGCACATTTTGTCATACTTTATTTTTTTATTTCATTTCGTTTTATGACACAGTTTCATGGGCTCTGAGATTCCGTCAACCCCTCCCCAAGCCCTCCCCCCATGTTAGATTCCTCCACATTATTACAGTAGTACAGTTCAAATACAGTCAAGATTCCTTCATTGCAAGCATGTGCCATGCATAGAGTCCAGCATCTTATTGTCCAGATAAATTCAACAGTGTTTTGGGGAGAGCATCTCTGGTCTGAAAGTAGAGCTGGCAGAATATTATCCCATCCAGTGAAAACTCATAAAATCAACCACAATTTATAACATTACGGAGTTAACTGACATGGTATTGAGTGACCAGTGTTAGAAAATGCAAGTTCTTAACCACATCCTGTGACTACTTCGTTGACTTATGAATTTTAGTTTATACACAACCAGCTGCTATACACCTTAGAATGGTTATAAGGTACTATTCAGCTGTCTCGTGTGCACTTTCGTTTTTATATTTAGCAGTTTATTGTATCGAAACATACTTTTTACTGAAATTGGTGAATTTTAGGAGAGTCCAAACCAGCTTATAACTCTAACAAGGCATATGTTAACAACTGAGGCAGAACAGTTTTAGGAGGGGTGTGCAGAGAAATCTTCAATACCTTAGTGAGGAGTAATTAATCTTTGTGTCCTACCTAGTAAGGTATGTGTGAGTCCAAGCTGTCCATTTCCTGTCTGGTTCTAAGCTTTCTTTATTGGTCTCTGTCTATCAAATAAGTGTAAGTTTCTGTTGATATTATGGCTTTTGGTGATAAATATTAAAAGCTATATTTAGTTGGAAATGGAATACAATTAATAGTAATCAATTCTAAAGAGGAGACTACATGAGCCATTCTGTGAAATATGACATATGATATTGGTGTTTTTGCCTGTGAAAATCCCTAAAATTTTGTTTCTAGACAGTGTAAATATCACTTTCTTCTTTTTAAATAAAATATGAGTAAATATTTTATTTATAATGTATTTCTACAAATACATATTCATCTATACTTCAGAGATTATAAGTATTGTTAATAAACTATCTGTATAATTGTAGATGGTTTTATAGCATTTTCATTTTAACAGAAACTGAACTCAATATCATCATCACTCAGTGATTTTGTGTCGCTTAGTGCATCTTAAGAACCATTCTGTTATAATTCGTAGGGTCTTGACTCAATCTTTTTAATAGTATCAAAGTGTTCCAAATAAATGTTGAAACAATACACTAATACACTTAATGAGACTTTGAACATGCCAATATCTTAGATCCTATTTAGTCATTTAAAAAAAGTGTTTGTTAATTTAATGCAGAAAATTTGTCATAGTATTATTTCAATTGACATTTCCTCAGGTTACTACCAAGATTTAGTACTGTTTTCTGAAGAGTGCTTATCATTTGTATTTTTTTCCTGCATGCCACTTGTGTACATGGACTGCACAATGGGATTTCTTGGTGATAAAATTATGAATTTAGGGAGGACAAGAGTTTGACATAGCTATTAGTCACCACTTGAGCATGAAGATTTTTCTGTTTTATGTCTTCCATTTATTTCCTAAATGTTTCATAAGTTTCATGGTCAAGTTCTTTCATGACAATGGTCAAATCATCCCAAAGCTTTAATTTATGCTTCTGGTTCTATGAATGGAACTGAATATAGTTCATTTTTTCCCCATTTTTATGTTTGTTTTGATTGTGCTGAGCTACATTATGACTACAACCAGTATGCAGATTTTTGTCTTAAAAGGATGTTGCATTTTATCAAATGCTTTTCTGCGTTTATTGAGATAATCATGCTGATTCATTCAATTTGTTTATATATCACATTTATTGATTTGTGTGTATTGAAATATCCATGCACACAGAGATAAATTCCAATTAATCTTGGTGAATCATCCCCTTGCATTTATGTTCGTTAAGGATATTGGTGTATAGTTCTCTTATCCTCTATCTGTTTTTAGACTTAAAGTGATGATGGCCTCAGAAAGAATTTCGGAGGGTTGTTTTCTTTCAATTGAATGTTTCAGAAGCATTGAGATCAGTCTGTCATGGTTATTGATCTGTGCCTAGAAATTTACTCTTCTAAATTTTCCAATTTGTTTATATATAGCTATTTGTGGTAATTCCTTAGGACTTTTGTTTTTATAGTATTTATTGTTGCATCTCATTTAAAAAAATATATTTATTTGTTTTTATTGCAAAGTCACATATACAGAGAAGAGAGAGAAAGGGAGGAACAGCTTCCATCCGATGATTCACTCCCCAAGTGACCACAATGTTTTATGCTGCAGCAATCTAAAGCCAGGAACCAGAAGCCTCTTATGGATCTTCCATGCGAGTGCAGGGTCCCAAGGCTTTGGGCCATCCTTGACTGCTTTCCCAGGCCACAAGCAAGGAGCTTGATGAGAAGCAGGGCTGCCAGGATTATACTGGTGCCCATAAGGGATTCCAGCACATTCAAGGCAAGGACTTTGGCCTCTAGGCCACCGTGTGGGGCCCAGCATCTCATGTTTTAAGTTCAATTTTTTGTTTGTTTAAATAGATCTCTCAATTCCATTTTTGGGGTCGGTTAGTGGTGTATCGATTTTTGTGTTTTTTTTTTTTTTTTCGAAAAAGCTGTACTTTTTACTAATCTTTTGAATCTTTTTTGTTTCAATTTTCCCAATTTTGTATTTTTATTTTTTCTTCCTCTTATTGATCTTAGATGTAGTTTCTTCTTGTTTTACTAGCTCCATGAGGTGTGTCAGTAGATCATTTATTGGGTATCCCTCCAGTTTCTTGATGCAGGCACTAATTGCCGAAGACTTTAGCCTTAATATTGTTGTGCTGCATCCCATGAGATCTGATAGTGTACTGTCATCTTCATTTTTTTCTAGAATATTTTTTGTTTCCATTTTGATATCATCTGTGACCCAATATTCATTAAAGATGTGCTGTTTGGCCTCCATGTATTTACATATTTTCTAACATTTTTAGTGTTAGCGTACAGTTTTATTCCATTTTGGTGAGAAAAGATACATAGTATAATTTCAAATTTTACATTTGTTGAGGCTTGGTTTATGGGCTATAATATGGCCTATCTTAGAAAATTTTCAATGCCATGGTGGAAGAAAGAATGTGTATTCTCTAATTGTAGAATGAAATGTCCTGTAAATATCAATTATATTCATTTGACTCATGCTGGTGATTGACTCTGTGCTTTCTTTGTTAATTTTGATTTGTCTGTTGATGAAAGTGGCATATTATAGATTCACATTACTTTATTTACATATGTGTCTCCCTTTAAATCCATTAAGTCACTTTAAATAACCATGTGCCTAGCATTGGCTGCATATATAGTCATGCCTTCCAGTTGAATGCATCTTAGAAAACCAAAAGATGGGAGAAAGTGTTTGTACATGATACATCTGATAAAATATTGGTATCCAGAACATATAAGGAAGTCAAGAAACAGAAATGGTTCAAACACCTGAATCTTTGCCACTCACCTGGGAGACTCAGATTGTTTTGTAATCCTGGATTTGGCCAGGTCCAACCCTGGATGTTCCAGAAATTGAGTAGAGAATGAGCAGATAGGTGATCTCAACCTATCTTTCAAATAAGTAACAAAGATGCACAAATAAAATAATGAGGCAGTATTCCTTTGAATGTGTAACCCCTGTTCTTTGGGTGCTGCCTTCCTACGACTGGGCATAAATTGCATAGGCAAAGAAGAAGGCCAATTGGCCTCTACTGCATATGGAGAAATACACAAAATTTTACAGTCCTGTAGATCTTTGAAATGATCAAAATAAGTATATTTGAGCAGGTGAATATTTCTGGATCTGTATTTAAAAAGAAAGAAAAATTAAAAGGTAACAAATGCTGGTGGTAATGTGGACAACGAGGTATTAATACAGTGTTGGTGGGAATGGAAACTAGTGCAAGTATTTTGGAATCATGTATGATTTTACACAGAAATCTAAAAGCAGATAGAAAATATAATACTCCCATCCTACTTCTGTGGATTTTTGCAAAGGATATTAAATCAGCACATGAATGAATTAAATGTATTCCCATTTTTATAACAGCTCAATTAACAGTAACTAAGATAAGAATCAGCTTAGGTGCATACTAACTAATGATGAATAAGGAAAATGCCAAACATATATATCACAGAATACTACTTATCTGTAAAAAGTAATGGAATATAATCAAACCAATTGGATAAAATTGTAGATCATTATGCTTAAAGAAATAAGTTAGTCCTGTAAAAGACAAATATCTGATTTTTGGTAATTAATATTTTGAGTACAAAGAAAAATGTGTGCACATATATATGTACACAAAAAAATCATATCTATATATAAGTGAAATTGGCATTTTGAGGTTTTTATTATCATTCATAGCTCTTATGAATAATATAGTCCTGAGGAACTAAGTTTTCTTTTGATCTTTTTTCTTTATTGAATGAGGACTAAAAATGAGACTATAAAATAAGTTGAAAGTTTGTCATCACAAATATTAACGGGACCTAAGAATGAAAGGAGGAGATATTTTAGGAAGTATCATTATGTTCTTAAACATATACAAAATACATGAAATCTATTACCTTTATATAGGTAAATTTAAACAGTTAAAATAAATGTTTTATGTTTCTACAAGGCATCATTTGAAGGAATTATTTCACTATTTTAAAATAACATTGTTTTTAAAATAAATAAATGCAATATATGGTATTATGCTCTTGGACAAGTTTCCTGTTTTTCATGTCAGTTCACGAATCACAGGAACATTTCTTTCAAGCAACATCCCTCAGACAGTACAGCTATCTCAGTCACCAAGATAACTGTCACATTTACTAAGCAACAAAGCAATCAGTTTTCTGTAAGAATTACACAATGCATATGTCAGTGCTCTGTAACTTTCAAACGCACCTGTACGTTTCCAGGCATGCCATTTTGAGTGCAGGTTGAATCATCATAGTGCTGGAATCTAACTCATTTGTGTATTGCTCTCCTTCTTATTTCTATTCCTTTCTTAAACACTCCGATTTTTAATTTATTTTATTTTCTGAATTACATGAGTTGATTCTTCTGGAAAGCACTGACTATATTAAATTGTTATGGCAAACTAAAATCAAAGTTGATGATCAAAAGGAAAAACATCCTTATCCTTGATGTTTTTGAACCACAAGAATCAAGAACTTTGAATGACAATTTTATTTTCTCTGAAAATAAATTGGTTTCATATTTCCCATTAAGCCTTCTAATTAATGTAGTGAAAGATTGTTATAAACCCTAGAGACAGAATTCTTGGCAGTATAAAAACGATCTGTTTCTTCCCATGGGAGTTATAATTCAATTAATTTATGTAATTCTTTCTAATAAATCATTATATATATAGCCATAGGGCTAAGAGGAAAACATCTTGTTTCCATGCCCTTGCCAGTGCAATTCTGCATTTGCATCCTATAAATTAACAATAGAAACAGGAAGTCAGCTGAATTCCCTTGAAGCCCAATAAGGAGTTCACGTTTTCAGCAGTTACAATAAATATTAGAATGGCATTCTTTTTTTTTTTTTAAGACAAGGTCACAATGTTGACACACTGAATTAAGCCACAGCATGTGATGCTGGCATCTCATATCATCCCTGATTAAGTCCTTAAATCCTGAGGCTCACTTCTGATGATCCACTTCCCTACTAATGTGCCTAGGAAAACAATGGTGATATCTTGAGTCCTTGGGTAAACTGTAACCCTTGTGGGAGACCAAGATGGAGTTCCAGATTCCTGGCTTCATCCTTGTGCCTCTCTGGACAATGCAGCCATGCTAGGAATGAATTAGTAAGTGAAAGGTATAGAAATACCTCCATGTCTCCTCCTCTCCCTCACTTGCTCTGTTTTAACTCTGCCTGTCAAATAAAAAATAAAAACAGTAAGTGTTTTAAAATTAAACACATCAGGTGAACAAATTGTCATGCAGTTAGTTACCTGTCAGTTGAGTAAGAGTGAAAGATCACTATCTGGATTCTATGCAAGATCTGTTTTTATTTAGATTTATTTGTTTTTATTTGAAGGCAGATTTTACAGAATGAGAAGGGCAGAGAGGAAAAGAGAAGGTCTTCCATCCACTCCGTCATTCCCTAAATAGCCAAAACAGCCAGAGCAGAGCTTATCCAAAGCAAGAGGCCAGAAGCTTCCTTTGGATCTGCCATGTGAGTGCAGAGTCCCAAGGACTTGGGTTGTCCTCTACTGCTTCTCCATGCCATAAACAGAGGGCTGGACCAGAGGAGGAACTGGGACATGAAGCAACACCCATGTAGGATGCTGATGCCACAGAGCAGGCAATAAGCATCCTGCACCACTCCAGTGAGCCCAAGATCTGGGTTTTATACATAATAATAATCATAGAAAACTATGAGTAGTTTCCTGAGCTAAATGTTAAAGAAGTACTAGATATTTGTAAATATACTATTCTTGAGGATTAGAAAACTTGAGACCCTAAAGTGCAAATGATTCTAATTGTTTCAGGTTCATTGAGGAATTCTGGGTAATACCATCTGGATATAAATAAAAAACAGTTTTACTAATGCTTTTATGACTCTCCATGAATTATTTCATAGGATTATAGGTGCAAATTACTTCAGCAATCATTGTCTTGAAAATGATAGTGTATTATATGTTTTGTACACTTTAAATATGCATATTATGACAGTAGAAATTAAATACAAGTGGGAAAACCATTTTCTTTTCAAATCAAGTGACAAATGACTGATCTCTAAATCCCATAACAATAACAGAAAAGAAGATGACATTCACTGAACAACTATTTTGTGGCAATCACAGTCGTGTATGCATTATTTTATTTAAATCAAGTCAAGCTAAGTAAGTGGGTGATGTGATTGCTACTTTACACACAAATAGAGTTATTTGAGGGACATGTCAATTGTAAAATTTGGTTTCATGTTTATTCTATCTCAGATTTCCTTTTGAGAGATATTAAAAGAACCATTCATCATTGTTGTGGGGCACTAGATTTAAGCAGGCTATCCCAGAGACTGCAATATATGTTTATTTTTTAACGTAACAGTCAAGAGAGTCCTGATTTTATCTACAGACTATTTCCTTTTGTACCATTATTGAAGGTAGGAGTGTTTCTGTCTTTTTTTTTTATGTATTTCAGAAGCAGAGTGACAGAGACAGCAGAGAGACCGTGCCCCCTCTGATGGCTCACTCTGCAAAGCTCATTGAAGGGCTAGGATGATACCAAAGCTGGGAACCACAAGTAGAATCTTGGGGTCTCACCTGAGTATCAGGAGCCCAGTATTTAAGTCATTGCTCTGCTACCTGCGGGGGTGGATTGAGCAGAGAGCTGGAATTGGCAGTGAAGTCTAGCATCAAAACTAGGTGTCCAGATGTAGGATGTGGACAAAGTAGTAAGCATCTTAATCACTAAAACAAATGCCATCCCAGACATTGTATGTGCTTTAATAAAGTGTAATTATTTTTTTCTGGAGAAGTACTAAGTATATTTGACAAAATATTTTTGATGATAAAAGATAGCAATCCCATCGTAGTCATGTGCAAGTACCCTTTTTAAGGAGGAGGGAAATCTCGTATTTGCCTATATATTAGCTTTGTGAAATGTTCCTTAAACAAATTTGAATAATTTAAATTAATTAATTAAATGTAAATATAATGGTTAATATCACTAACAATAACCTCAATGGATGCTTACTTTAGGATCACACATCAATTCCTTGTGTAAATGGAGGCTTCAGTCAGAAGACAGGGCATGGACTTACCTGCATTTGCCCACTAGGATATAGTGGTGCATATTGTGAACAAAGCATTAGACATGAAATGAATTTAGCCCTTTGTTTGAATGGAGGGATTCTCATTGCTGGACCGGAACACACTTTTGAATGCAGGTAAGTATTATTTTTATGCTATTAACTAATATATATATATATATATTTTTTTAAACATTTCATCAGCAATACACTCTAAAGCATATATACTAAATTTTCACTTTAAGAACATGTGCTCAGAAATTTGAAATGAACAGTTATATAAAGCATCACTTATAATTTTAGGATACTATGTATTATTCCAATTGTTTCTTAATAGTAGTGTAGTTTTTACCACAGATTTATTTCAATTATTACCAAATCTGTCTTCCAAGATCTTAACCAGCTGTAAAAATTTTTATGTGAGTTTCAATCTTTCACTAGGTTTTGAACCATATTTAAACTCTAAATTACTTATAATATGTTTTAACTTCTAAGGTAGTAAATTTTAATTTCCTTTATTTTTTAAGTGTATAGTATGTAAATATATATTTGATCAGTTGAGAAATCAGCTGCTATCTATTCAGTCTGCAAAATGCTAATTGAACCTAGTTGTTTAAGAACTGTAGACATACACATTTTAGCTCTGCACTCCATTTCAGTCTGATTTGTGATTGGCTGAGGTTAAGAGAAAACATCTGTGAATAACTGGCATAATAGCTCAAGTTACCGACAGGTTTATCACTGCAATGAGACACCTCAAAAAAGTTCGTGGGAAAATATAATTAAACTTGTTTTGATATAAAAATGTTTTGAGATCTATGTATATGAATGGTCTTCAAGAAATTCCTGGAAAATGTGTATTATTTTAAACAACTATGCATAGATTTCAACAAGCCTTACGTCAAAGACTATTTCTACTATTTCTATTTTTCATTAAACTTTTTGGGATATTTCCATTAAGTTATCGTTGAAAGGCTGGAGTTATGGAGAAAGAGAGATAGTCAAAGAGACGGAGTGAGGAGATATCAACCCTCCATTGCCTGGTTCGCTCTTCAATGGCCTATGACCAAGATCTTTACCCAGGTTTCCCATGTGAGTGGCAGGGGTACAACACTTGGGCCATCATCTGCCAGTTTCCCATGAGCATTAACAAGGAGCCTTGGTGAAAGGGAAGTGGCTAAGATAGTAACTCATGCCCATGCGGAGATTGGAATACTAAACAATAGCTTTAGGTCCTACATCACCATCATGTCCCCTTTCAAGGAAGTTCAGAATTGCTCTCAGTTGTTTTATGCTAAAATTTTTCCATTACTAATTTTCATAGTGTAATCCATTATTTCTCTTTAACATATTGATAAATTTCTTTTTATATTTGTATTAAGTACCATATTGTCTTCAATAACCAGGAGGTGTTTTGTCCATTTACTTATTTTGATCTTGGCTATGCAATTATTATTTTGTTTGGTGCATATCTAGTAAGTCACACTCAGATGCCAATCTCAGATAAACTAGATACTGGAAACTGTCCTAAGAAGATAATACTTACATATTACTATGAAACACATATTACTTAGGTTTTAAATTTATTATGTTCTTTTAAAAAAATTTTTCATGCAGCAGTATTTAGTTATAGGGGTTCCCCCTTTTCCCTGCCCTTTCTACAAACTCATTTTCTCTCACCGTTTCCTCCCATATTCTGTCAGTAGTGTAGCTCTTTACAGTTACAAGTCTAACTTTCTCCTGTTGAAGTGTGTCATGGCATTGTAAGTATAAACAAAGAGAATCTAGTGTCCTATTGTGAAGATATATTTAACTGCGTCACTTATTACACATTATCAAGCATGGATGTATAAACACACACGTATACATCTTGGTATCTATATTTGGAATAGTATTGTGCTTGTTATCTTTGGGGTTTTTTTTTTTGGTTGATAAATGTTTTTATATATAAAGTCATATGTATTTATTTATTTATCATATGATACAGTTCCATAGACTCTTATAATACTTATGTTTTTCAAGTAGAAAAAGCAATAGTTGATAATTGATAAGATTTTCAATGTCTTTACCATTCACAGAATATACCTATTATTTAAAATAATTAAAAATATCTTTTTTTGTGCAGATAACAGAGTATTTGTTGATTCCATTACTAGCTGTTTTGCCAAACAACACCCCAAAGGGGTTGGAGGTATTATTGTAGGAGCCCCAAACTGGGTCCTTTCATAAGATTAGCACAGAATGTCAATCAGTGACTTCAGGGTAGTAGAAGAAAGTAAGCCTTTACTGCAATACACAGAACAAGGAGCTAGGCAGCTAAACAAGCTTCCCGGGTTCCCTGAGTAGGCAGGTGAAGGTTCTTAGGACAGAAAATTGGGGCTGAAAGTAACTGACATGCAAGGTTCCTGATTGGTCAGTGATGCTGTGATTTTTAGGGAATTTATGATGGTCTGATGGGCCCCATCTCACAGTTGGGGGATGGGAGAGGGTTGAGAGGAGTGCTTGAATGTATTTACAGGATTTTCTTCAAGACAATGCTTGCTGTTAAGGTTCTTATCTATTAGAGAATCAAATGAATTCTGGAGAATCACTACCTTAAGTCAGTGAATTGCTTTGATCATGGCAGGCAAGGACTCCCTGTGCTAAGGGACTTGGGGAAGGCCATATGCCTGGACTATGAGTTTACATTTTAGAAGTTTGGTTTCAGTTGTAAAATCAAGTTCATGTTTCTTAGTAATGATATGAGGTGCAGCCAGTGATAGCCAGCACGCCTTAACAGTGGGTAGATGGTAGTCCCCAGTACAGGGACTACCATATCCAGATGTGGGGTGTAATGCAACATGTATTCCTGCTTCCAAACAAAGATGGACTCTCAATGGAACTGTTGGAAATGTGTAGACCATGGGATGCTGCACTGTCTGACATTGTCTGTACCAACACTGTCGGTTCACACTTAAATAACTGAGACTGATGGGATTATGACTCCCTATAAAAGATTATACTATTGTAGCACCAGGGGAAAAATCTGTCAGGTGTGGGAGTTTGTGGTGAGGGGGGTCCCAGTCTATACGAAACTGTACCACAAAATTCAAAAATTCAAAAATAAAAATATAACAACAAAAAAAGTAGAAAGAAAGCAAAACAACACAAAACAACACAAAAACCCAGTGGGCAGATCGAATGTGGCTGTATCCCGCACCCCTTGGGTGAGTCAGTGAAGATATTAGTGTTCATCATATTTCTAAATGTGTACTTTCTTTTTAAAATTATTAATTAGCTTTATTTTTGAAGATTTTTACATTATTGTTTAGAGTAATCAGGATATCTGGGAAGTATTTCTAATTGTGTGCTTTCAAAAGAGTTCCTAAAGGTGGAACCTAGCAGTAATAAAATGTTAATTCCATCCTTCAGGGGAAGCCCTCAGTTTCTCCCACCCCTCCCTTGCTGCTTCCAATTATTAAAGTTAATCAGAAGTTTTGTACTGCAAGTGAAAACATTGTACTGTGCACCTTTCAAACCAATTGGAGGGTGAGAGCTTAAAAATCCCTGACTTCTGCCATGCGGCACAGTGGTTCCTGAAGTGTGGCCGGAGCTGCTGTCGCCAAGCTTGGGCAATAAAGACTCCTGCTAACATCCTACACTTGTGTCTGGCATGGTCTCTCTTGCACCCTGCAACATTAACTTTCTGAATTTTAATCCTGATGGCCATTAAGATTTTCTTCAGTAACCTAGTATTAGCACAGATAGAAGTTGATAAACTTAAGTCATTGTTAGTGGAAAAGTTACTAAAAATGAAAGCATTGAACATTTATTTTTATTATAGCATTTTTACTTATAGTAAAAAAGCACATAGACATATAAATATAATGTACAAATTAATTGTGTCTGATAAGGAGAGAAACAAACATGGGCAGATAAACATGGTATTCTAGATGCAGTCCAACATCTGATTTTACTTCATATCCTGGGACAAATTTAAATGCATTAACAACTTTGGTCAGTTTAATAACAGCTGCTTCAGAGCCTGTAAGCATTACTATCATGGATTGCACTTTAATAACATTTTAATGCTTACAAGTTTTATTAAACTGTAAAAATCATGTTGAAATTATAATAAAAACTAAATTGGCTTCACACAGGAAAGGATTGGAGAAATAAATAAAAATTTTTATACAAAACTTTATTCTCTGACACCATGTAAATTGTGAAAAACAGAAAATAACGAAAAACGAAGCACTAAAGGGGAGGCATTGTGGCATAGCACACTAGAGCCACCACTTGGGATGCTTGCCTATCTCACCTGAGTGTTGCCATCCAAGTTCCTGTGCTTCTTACCGAGCTTCAGGCTGTTCCTGCTAATGAGTTCTAGAAGGCACAAATGATGGCTCAACTACTTGATCTCTGTCACCAACATGGGAAGAAGTAAAGAGAGTCCCAGACTTCCAGCTCTAGCCTCTCCCATCCCTGGTTGTTCCAAGTAGGTAGTGGGTGAATCAGTGGATAGAAAGAATCTGCCTTGCTCAACCTCTTTCTCTGCCACTATGTCTTTTACATAGATGAAAATAAGCAAGCATAGATTTAAAATGTACTGAGGTATAAAAATATGGGTTTTGTTTGTTTATTGATTTTAGAATGTGAAAATTTACTTTATTTCTGCCATAGTTTTAAAGGTTTTTATTTGCTATTCTCATTCATATAAACTTTCTTATGTTTATTGCCCCAATCTGACCATAGCCGACACCCCAAAATTGCATTGTGTTAAAAAATGGGTAAAATTAATTATGATTATTTCCCCTTTTATGTTTCCTGCTAAAAACATTTCAAGAGTGTCTTAACAACCATAACATATTGCTACATGAAATATGTAATGAAACTGACATTCACTGAAATCCCCCCTACCCTAGTTGAGAAAGGGGAGTTGCTATTTCATTAGACAAACATGTTTTTGGAAAAAAAATCAAAAAGAAGGCATAAAAAAGGTGGTGAATTTATGATGATCAGGATACTGAATCTATAATATGAATTAATAACTATCAATCACTTTTACTGAAAGTTAATCAGTTTTGTTAACTTGGAATAAAACTTTATTTTGCAGAAAACGTTAGGAGACTTTTCATTGCATAAATATTGTTTTAAAA